TCAATTGAGCGCAAGAGTCGGGCAAAACAGGCGATCATAACGTACAGCAAGAGGTGACGGCGTTGGCCACAGAGATGTCGCGATACTCTCTGTACATGTTGTGAGTGCCGGTGCGGGAGTTATAGCGGAGCCAAACGCCGTAGTTCTTCACCTTATCGGCGGGTCTGTTCTCCTGGACTTCCTTCACCTCAACGATCTCTCCGTTTGCTTTCTTCACTTTCCTTAGCTTTCGGGTGAAGTACCAAAAGCGCGATTTGGCCACAATATGGTCGGGTGCGAAGATCGTCATCCGATACAGCGGTGGCGATGGGTTCGCTTTGTCCGGCACATGACGACCGATGATCCGGTACTGACGCAACTGGTGGTAGGATTAAGACAATCATAATTAGTGTTTGCTTTGAATGGGAAAACATGTGGTAATTGTGCGGATATTGTGACCGAAAAGTAAAAACACAACACCTTTTTGTCGCAATCCTTACACTTTTAATAGTATTAGTAAAGCGTTAAATGAATAGAAAGATTTGTTAAAAGTTTAGTTTTAATTGTAATTAATTAGTAATTTTGCAGATAATTAGAAAAAAAGACACAAAATAGACATCATTTTTACAGAGAGTTTATGGTTAAGGAAATGGTTGGCAAATGAGCCACAAATGGGTTTCATTCAAGATATTACATATCAATAAAGGTATAGACAATGAATGAGTGGCCAAAGAGTGGTAATATTAAGGATAATTGGATCAAATGAAGTGATAATCAATACTCACAGTTCCGGAGACTTTCATGTTTGATGGGAAAAGAGGCTTAAATTATAGGAAACGGATGTGAAGTGTGGCTGCGATACACGTTTGGACTGTTTTGGGTCTAACCATACATTACGTCCACTTTTTATTTGTAAACTTTTTGGTATGTAATTAAAGTATTTTAAAGTAATTTAATTAATTACATTATTATGATGATTTAGTAATCAATTTATATAGTTTATAACATTATTTATTATATTAATTGTGTTATTATTTAAATGATTAGTTAATATTAATCATAAATGCATTTATTTAATGAGTTTATGTGTATTGAGTACTGTATAGACATCTGTTGATCCGTTTGTACCGACGATAAAGTGGTGTTTTTTGTTGCAGTCGTTGCCATCACTTTTGTTGTAAAGTTTTTGTTTGTTTGTAAACTTATTTATTAATTTAATTGTTGTTAACATAGGATTAAAATCTAATAATAATGTCTTGAATAATAATATGCAGTAAATGAGTGGTTGTTATCGCTTAATAACTTTTTAAGCCAATACTTAAGACCAATGCTTTGTTGCCATTAATTGATCCAATTGTTAAACAATGGAAATTATTTTTTGTATTTTATAATTAGCTTTCAATTGACATATCGTTGTTGTGATTACTTTTTTACAAAGTTTTATAACTTTTAAGTCCAAAAATGTATATAAACTACAAGTTGTTTATGAAAATAGTTGTGATAATTGCCGTAAAACTGGTGGTCAAGAGTGCGGCCATTGAGATAACAGGTCTCGGATGGCATTCGCCTCAACTGGTGTTCAGTTCCCGATATTTCTTTGTCTGGAATCAGTCGGTGACGAGTGTTGTGATCACATCACCAGACAATGGATGCCGTGTTTGGCACCAAATGTTTAACGAAACAAACTTTATGTCAAACTTAACGATAATTCGGTACAAAGTGTTGAGCGATGTCTGTGTCGGCGGTCTTGAGATGAGTTTGTTGGGCACCGACGGGGATGTGTTGGCCCGCAAAGTGGTGACCGAAGACGTGTGGAGCGAGCGGTGTGTCTGCCGTCGACCCGATTGGTCACAACTCATGAATTGTGACCAAATGTCACAACAGTTTACGCAAATTGATAGCGATTTGAGGTTTGAATTATGATTTGCTTTTAATAAACAATCTTTGATTATTTGGTTCATGTTTTCAGTCGTTTCAATACAAGCGATGGCATAGACTTTGACAAAGTGTTGGATGAGATGCAAACCCGGTTCGCGCCTCACAATAGGTCTTATTCTTTCTGTCACTACCAGATTGTGGACAATGAGGTAGACATTGGTTTTTGCCATTTAATGAAAACACCATTCATTACCTTTGAATCGCCCGAAAGGCATACAAACAATGTTATGGAGAATACGTCGGTTTCGCGCAATTCATTGATGAGATCTTGAAGTCATTATTGGCGAAGACATCACTGCCTGACTTTGAATTCGTGTCCAATTTAGGCGATTGGCCACTAAGTGACAAACGAACAAAACCTCCGCTTCCAGTGTTCTCGTGGTGCGGATCCAAAGACTTTAACGATATTGTGATCCCAACGTATGAATTAACCGAATCCTCTCTTCAAATGCAGGTCTAAATCACAGATTAATAATAAATAAGTTTTAAAACTATTTTGAATATTGATTGTTACGAATGAAGGGTCGCGTAAGTCTTGACATACTGTCAGTGTTTGGCAAACAATCGATTAAATTCGAGGACAAGAAGGATATGCTGTTCTGGAGAGGAAGGGATTCCAATGAAAATCGGCTCAAATTGA